AGAAGGAACCGACTCATTTCACTCATTTAATTTTTTTTAAGCACATTATCTATTTGGGATGTTGAAGCCTTCAAGTTAATGTGTCCTGGGAGACTGTGGCTATGTGATAGATGATATCAGGTATGTGCTGTGCGATCTAAATCAAGGGAAAAGGGGGAAAATGCTCCAGTCCTGAGCAAAACAGAAAAAAAGGAACTGCTTGCCAAGAGGAAAGCGCTGTGTGTGTCCACACTAACTAGCTTCCAGCACCTCCTTTTGCATTGCCACCACAGTGCTAAAAGGAGTGTTTGTCTGGACATGAATGTTTTACACTTCATCTGCCACCAATTAAAAATAATAATAAAAATGGGAACAATCTAATTGTGCTGCCTTCTCACATTTCTCCCTTTAGAAGGCATGACCTCCTTGCAGCTGCAAATAGGTGAGCTGTCACCTCCAAAGTGACTGCCTGGAAGGTCCCTGCCTCACTGCTGGGCAGAGGTGCAGCAGCTCTTGCAAATGCAGAGAACACAGATGGTCCAGGTTATTTCTGACAGAGGCTAATGGGGTGATTAAGGAGGTGCCAAAAATCTAATGTACACGTGCAGACATCTTAAACTAATTCCAGCACATCATTTCAGACTGTTCTGGCCCAAAATGAGCCTTGTTTTTCAGGAACCCAAAGTCCCAAATGGAAGTCCCTGCACTTGATGAAGTTCTCCCCTGTAGTGTGAGTTTTGTACAGCTGTAAAATGTGTAATGTTATGTATTAAATTATGACTATTGTATTTAATTATTTGCACTTGAAAAGAAAAATGTGTGCACAGAGGTCTAGGCACCATCACACTGTCTCACGCTCTTTTTTTGTGCTAATTTAACCCATTTTGCACAGACAGAGGTTATTGGCATATTTGCCCATTTACACCTTTGCAAATATGTAATATTTACCCAGCAGAGAGGTGGAGGATCATTTGTGATGGTGCAGGGAGATGGATGTCCAGAAATGGAGTTTAAGGAGCTGGGTATCTGCTGCTGCTTGGGGCTCTTAAACTGAGTATCCACAGGTTTTTGAGGCTTTCTTTGGAGCATGTAAACAGGGCTTGCATGGAGTATGGGGTTTGTGCTGACGCTCAGCATGGTGCTGAGTGTTGTTCAATTGGGATACACCCTATGACTCACAGGACATTGACTCAGCACATGAAATAGCAGCCATGTCCATCACATGAACAAGTTATCTGCTCCCTTCCTGGCTTTTGCTCTCACAGAATCACAGAATGGTTGGGGTTGGAAGGAACCTCTGGAGATCATCTAGTCCAACCCCCCTGCCAAAGCAGGTTCACCTAGAACCTCTCGTTTGTTCCCTAATCTGTAGACTTGCTTCCTTTCACACTCACACCTCTGTTACACCAAGCTCACCCCTTAGTGCAGCACATCTAGATTTGTGCCATTATTTTTAAGAGGTGAATCAGGCTCAATTTCAGGAGCAGCTCATTATTTGTAATTTAAATAGGGCAGTATAAATAAATCCCTTACAGTCGCTAACACCACCAAGTCAGAGGTGCCAAATTCAGATCCACCTTCCTCTAGAGTTCAGAGATCTGAGTTTTCTTTTATGGTTGAAACTGGTTTATATATAATGTTACTGATTATAGGTCAAGGTAAAAAGAATTTGGGGTGTTACACAGCACACCTTTAATGATAACAATGTTTTTTCATCTCATTAGAGAGACTAGAATCATAGAGTCATAGAATGTTGTGAGTTGGAAGGGACCCACAAGGATCATCAAGTCCAGCTCTTGCCCTAGCATAGGACAATCTCAAGATTGAGACCATGTGTCTTCTGTGGGTGTTGTCCAAATGCTTTTTGAATATTGACAGGCTTGGTGCCATGACCACCTCCCTGGGGAGCCTGTTCCAGGGCTCCACCACCCTCTGGGTAAAGAACCTTTTCCTCATGGCCAACCTCACCCTCCCCTGCCACATCTTCCTGACATTTCCTTTGGTCCTATCACTGGACTAAATCATGTCCCTTGTGTCCTATCTCAGCAGATGGGGTAAAGATATGGCCTGTGATGTTTTCAGTGTAAGGCTCACACACTGTTTTAGGAGGAGCTGTGCAGAGGATTGTGCAGAAAGCACAGTCCAAACACACACCTCAGTGCAAACAGGATGGCCACAAACACGGAGCAAAGCGCTTGGAGCTGAGAGCACTTTAGTTCTGGCTCTTGCAAGGAGATTCAGTTTAGATCCAAGCTGTGCGCTGCCAGCCTCTTGGAAAAGCTTTAACTGGTCTCTGCCAGACTCCTGCAGTGTGGTCCTGAATTCATCCCTTTCTTTTTTTTCTTTTTTCTTGTCTTTCTTTCTTTTCCATTTCACCAGTGGCTGACTGATCACTGAGATCTTGGAGGGAAAGGGCAAGGCTGCTCCATCCCCCATGCATGGATAATCCCATGACTGATAGGCTGACACTGTTGAAGGCCAAATGCTTTCTTCTACCTTCCTACCTCCCTCTCTGCCCAGTGGGCAAGAAAAACCTCATATGATGGTGTCTCCAAACCCAAAGGCTGGAGACACTTGCAATGAGCTCACCCACTTAGTCACTGTACACTAAATATTAAACCTGGGCAAAAATCACCTTTTCAACCAGTCCTTCCTCACACTAAGTCACTGACAGCATATCGTCACAAGAGAAGTACCAGCACTGGGTGCAAATCTGGAAAAAAGGGAATGGAAGAGGACACAGATTTATTTTTCTGTATAGTACATAGCCAGCTCAATGGCTGCTCCTGGGTCTCTCATGAGTTCCAGTTCAAGACTTCTTTTTTTCTACTTCTCTTCTCTTCTCTTCTCTTCTCTTCTCTTCTCTTCTCTTCTCTTCTCTTCTCTTCTCTTCTCTTCTCTTCTCTTCTCTTCTCTTCTCTTCTCTTCTCTTCTCTTCTCTTCTCTTCTCTTCTCTTCTCTTCTCTTCTCTTCTCTTCTCTTCTCTTCTCTTCTCTTCTCTTCTCTTCTCTTCTCTTCTCTTCTCTTCTCTTCTCTTCTCTTCTCTTCTCTTCTCTTCTCTTCTCTTCTCTTCTCTTCTCTTCTCTTCTCTTCTCTTCTCTTCTCTTCTCTTCTCTTCTCTTCTCTTCTCTTCTCTTCTCTTCTCTTCTCTTCTCTTTTCTTTTTTCTTTTTTCTTTTTTCTTTTCTTTTTTCTCTTATTTTTTTATCTTTTCTCCTTTTTCCATTTCCTTTCCTTTCCTTTCCTTTCCTTTCCTTTCCTTTCCTTTCCTTTCCTTTCCATTTGATTTGGGGGTTTTTGTTATTAGATGAAGTCTGTTGTCTTATTGCCAATCAGAGCAATCCTGAAGAGGAGGACCAAGATCTCCTCAACTATCTGCTCCTTCCAAGGTCCAATCAACTGCACCGAGACGCTCTCTAACACGTGTCTCATTTGTTCTTAACGGTGTCAGGCAATGGGGTTTCCAGAACTCAATCTGCTCCTCTGCTGGGAACAACCATGGGCCTGGAAAATGTTTTCTAGTTTCTGACTTGAATCTCCCTTGTTTCACTTCAGACCGATTACTTTTTGTCAGACCTTCAGTTTTCATGGTGAACAATTAATTATAATCCTTTTAGAACAGGAGTTGTCAGGGTGGCATCTTCCCACTTCATTGTTTCCTCTTTTCTAAATCAGCTCATCTCTTTTGGCTTTGCCTCTCCAGCCACGTTTTATGAGCTTGTTATCCTTAATGTATCACTTACATTACTTCATCTTCCTGAGGAACAGTGACCTTCACTGGACACGACACATGCTCCATCAAACCTCATCACTGGGTACGGAAGGAGAACAAGTCCTCTCTGCTCACCCACCACTCACTTTGCATCCCCAAAGGTTATGTTTCCTTGTGGGCAGGACTTGAAAAACTCAAGCATTTATCACTGATTGTTTTTGCTGGAATTTTTCTACTCTTTCTCTCTAACTATTTAAATATCCCTTCCCTGAAGGTCATCTCATCAGAAGATCCAACAGCTCTCCAGGCAGCAGAACTTCCTGCTGTTCTCCATTTTAGTCTACAGTAACCTCACTAAAAAGCTCCCCAGAAACCAACGTTCTGCTCTTAGCTCAGTCTGTGACCCAGGGGCACCTTTTTTTCTGCAAACGGGAGGCAGGATGGGGTGTTTGCTCCATCGATTCAGAAGGCCTCTAGGCACAGGTGTCTGCTTCTCCTTTTTATTGAAAAATAAACCCCTGACTTGTAAACTGCTGTGGGACCTGTGTGCATGTAACTTATTTCATCTGGGTCCTGGTAGGCAGGTGTCCACATCATAGAAACCTTCCCAGATGGTGCTTATGATGACTCCCTCACTGGAAAAGCCAAAAACTCAGCAGGGGTGAAAACTAAACTACTTTTGTACACTTTTAAATCAGTCCTTCCAGATGGTCCTAGGAACAGTAAAAGGTAGACAAGAGGGCCTCAGCTGTGCTCAGAGCTCTACAACATATTCACAAAGGAGAGTTCTCTACCTAATGTGGCCAATCTGGCAGGTCCTTGCTGCTACCTTAACATTAGCTTTTAAAATAAGAGAGAAAAAAAAAAACAAAACAAAACCAAAAGCAAACAAAAAAAATTAAACCACCCACTGAAGAGCTCAGGACACGACCAGACAAAACAGTTGGTGGCCTTCAGAAACTCCTAGTCCTGCTAGACAGGATGCACAGGACAGTGCTTTTCCCTAAGTCACAGCAGAGTCGATGGGAAATAAAGTTACTCTTGTAAACAAGAAGCATAGTGCAGGTGGTAAGAGCCAGAAAAATGTTGTTAAAATACAGCCTAATACTTAATTAGTCATTTTCTGTTCTTTGCTTGATTTTCTTCTCATGTAGCCAAAAAATTCAAGATAGTCTGACAGACTGACAATGAGTTTTTCTCTGGGAAAAATCTCAGTGAAGACTTCAAGACTTGGTCTGTGCTTTGTAGGATGATTCCTGTATCCTACTCCTCTGTTGATGCTGTTGCCTTCACTCCATTCTCCCTTTCAGGTACGACAGCTTTGGACGCCTGACCAACGTGACCTTCCCTACTGGCCAAGTGAGCAGCTTCCGCAGTGATACCGACAGCTCCGTGCATGTCCAGGTGGAAACCTCCAGCAAGGATGATGTTACAATAACAACCAATTTGTCGGCATCAGGAGCCTTCTACACCCTGCTCCAAGGTGAGTTGGGCCACTGTCCCTCTACCAGCCAAGCTACACGTGATGAATTATCCATCAGGAAATAGGCATCATCTTGATAACCTCAGCACCAAAAATCACCTGCATCCTCAGCGCCCCAGAGCTCCCCACATGCTGGTTCAGATGCACGCTCACACTTACTTTGCCACATTCCCTAGTGCCATGGTAGCTCTGCAGCTGTTTTCTGTTTCATCCTCAGCCAGTGTCCTTGCAGTGCAGCCACCATGCAGCACAGTCCTTACCATTACCATTATTGTTATTAAGAAAAGGGATGAATAACTCCAGCTGTGCTTCTAGCCAACTCTCGTAGAATGGTTTGGGTTGGAAGGGACCTTAAAGCTCATCCAGTGCCAACTCCCCTGCCATCAGCAGGGACACCTTCCACTAGACCAGGCTGAACAAAGCCTCATCCAGCCTGGCCTTCAACACTTCCAGGGAGGAGCAGCCACAGCTTCTCTGGACAACCTGGGACACTGGCTCACCACCTTCACAGCAAAGAATTTCTTCCTCACATCTCATCTCATCTCCATCTCCCCTCTTCCAGTTCTGAGCCATCACCCCTTGTTCTGTCACTCCCTGCCCTTGGACAAAGTCCCTCCCCACCCTTCCTGGAGCCCCTTCAGGTACTGGGAGGCCACTAGAAGTTCTCCCTGGAGCCTTCTCTTCTCCAGGCTGAACAGCCCCAACTCTTTCATCCTGTCCTCATAGGAGAGGTGCTCCAACCCTCTCATTATCCTCGTGACTTCCTCTGGACTTGCTTTGCTTTGTTCTCTTAATGGCTTCCAACATAAAAGTTACTCTCCTCCTGGAACAGGTTTCCAACTTGTTGCTGGAGATCTCTGTTTCTTTGTTCAATGGCTTTTCAAACATTCACAAGGCAGCCTCTAAGAAAAAAAATATCCATCCCTGTCTCCAAAAGGTCTGTGTTTGAGCTAAAGAGTTGGTGTGGAGAGGCACAAAGGAGAAGTGGGCAGCCAGGGTAGGACTGGTAGGACTGGTTTGTAGCTGTTGGAAATGAGCATAGTTCTTCTGGTAATGGTAAGGTGAGGAAGTGGATGACTGATGAGGTGGAGGAAAAGATGATGAAGTGTGAAAGAAAAGAGGAATGAATAACAGGGGAGCACTACACTGGTGAGGGCAGAAGTTGCAGTGCACAAACCATGCCGACCTGGATCTCCAGGATATGAAGGCTGAAGCCTCCTTAGGGTCAGGGTGAGCCATCATTCCTGTTCCCTGGGGCTTGGAGAAAGGGAAGGGACTTTCAGACTCTTTGCTTTCTTCACTCCCCAGCTCTCATTCACTCTCTGTGCCTGATGGCAATGGGGTGTCAAACATCATTTCCCCTTGTGAGGAACAAAGTGCACCAAGTGAGACCAACTTGTTTCAGAGTCACATTTGTTCCCACATCTCTGGGATGTACATTTCCTTCCCCTTCCCTATAAAGAAAATGCCTACTGTGCTTGAACATGGCTTTTCCTGCCTTTGGAGAGAGCAGCTGAGAGGGTGCCAGCCCCTTCAAGCCATCCTCACTGTTCCTGCAGGGAAACTCAATGAGTTTCTTAGTCTTTACTTCACACTGCAAAGCAGATCCAACCTACCCCACCCCATCTCATCCATTCGCATTAAGACATCTGGCAACTGCACAGACACGAGGTTGGCTTCACCTCAAGAGCCTAATTAAGCAATAGAGCCCGCTGTTGGGGGCCCTTTAGTGAGATAATTGACTGCAATGTGATTTATACACCCCGAGCTGAAGGCACAGTTACATAATGGTGCCATGGTCAATTATCTCATTGTACTGCCCTCCAGCACCAGGGCACTCTTGCCATCAGAACATGTAGAACTACAAACAGCTTAACCATCTTCAGAAGTATAAAATTACGAAAATGTTTGGATCTAAAGAAAGTCACTTATCTTAAAATGAAGATGTGGATCACATTGCAGCAAAGGTGGCCTGCGACCTGCTGAGGGTGGCTTTCCCACAGGTCTTAGAGACTGTGAATTCCCAAACGGAGGCAGCTGTTTGTTCATAGCAGCCCTGTAGAAACTGAAACAAGGGCTGTATTGAACACAACTAAAATTAAATTGCCTTCCAAGTGCTTCTCTTGTGAATGGAGCTGGAGCTGTTCTCAAAGTCTGTGAGCATGGCCAGCAAAGTCAAGGGAGGTGATTCTCCCCCTCTACTCCGCTCTCGTAAGGCCCCACCTGCAGTGCTGCCTCCAGTTCTGGAGCCCCCAACAGCAGAAGGACATGGAGCTACTGGAGCCAGTGCAGAGGAGGCCACCAGGATGATGCGAGGCCTGGAGCAGCTCTGCTGTGAGGACAGGCTGAGAGAGTTGGGGCTGTTCAGCCTGGAGAAGAGAAGGCTCCGGGGAGATCTTATAGCAGCCTCCCAGTACCTGAAGGGGCTACAAGAAATCTGGGGAGGGACTTTTCATAAGGGCAGTTAATGACAAAACAAGGGGAAATGGGTTTAAGCTGAAAGAGGGGAGGTTTAGATGAGATATTAGGAAGGAGTTCTTCACTGTGAGGGTGGTGAGACACTGGAACAGGTTGCCCAAGGAAGTTGTGGATGCCCCCTCCCTGGAAGTGTTGAAGGCGAGGCTTTGAGCAACCTGGTCTAGTGGAAGGTGTCCCTGCTGCTGGCAGGGGGGTTGGAACTGGATGATCTTTAAGGTCCCTTCCAACCCAAACCATTCAGTGATTCTATGATTCTTTGATTCTATGAGCATCATGCTCGCCCTGTTGTTCTCCAGGCAAAACACACGTTGCAGATTCCCTTTGCATGAGAGGTGTTTGTGCATTTTCCTTCTGGACTCAGAACTCTCACCAGCTTTCATAAATCTTTGGTGAACCTTTCAAGAAACCTGGATCACACTGTGAACAGATGAGGTCTGAGAAGGCATTTTCAGAAGGCTACAGATTCCTGTAGGATGGATTTAGGAGCCTCTACAGCTAACAGGTACCTCAGGACTTCTGTGGGATTTTGTCCTCTGGATTAATGACAGTGAGCATTTGGTCAAGGTCAGAATAGGGCACTAGTGCCCTAGAGCCAAAGCAACATAAAATACAGCATCCAATGGCCCTTGGTTTTCATGTAGCCCTTGAGAAATGCCTTCCAAAGTCAAGGAAGAGTCTTCTCTTGGGAAAATGTTGGAAGTGGAGGAAATACATTCCCCACACTGTACCACACTGCTGGTGACAATCCACTGTAACCCCTTTGTGGTGCTTGTGTGACACAGAGGGTACATCACACATCCATTGAATTTCATGGAGAGCTTCAAGCTTTTCCCTACTTCCTGGTAGAAGATGAAAGAGAGAAACAATCACAGAATCATCACAGAATCACAGAATGGTAGAGGTTGGAAGGGACCTCAGGAGATCATCCAGTCCAACCCCCCTGCCAAAGCAGGT